CTGTATATAGACTGGTCATCAGAGCAGTTTGATTTTTTTTAAAGTTTTAAAAAATGTAAACTACAGGGCAATCATTTTAACCTGAAATCAGAAATAATATTAAATAAGCAAGTTGACATTTAAGATCATTTTCATATATTCAAAACTAATCTGTATGTAAAATACCTACCCGTTGCAACAATTTTACATCCAACTCCACTTACATTTTTTCTATGTTCTACCACCATCTCAATCTTTAGTTCATCATTGCATTCATATTTGTCATTTATCCTCATCATCACAGCACAGTTCCTGGTGCAGGTGTTATCATCTGGGTGCCACAGTCATTTTTCATAGTAGAGGCAGAATCTGAACCACTCGTGAATGACAGCATGGACATGGGTGAGAGTGAAGGCGTCTCAGAAGAAGAGAACATAACATCGGCACAAACAAAGACACAGAAGTGAGGACGCACACCCATGTGTTGAAATGGTCATGAGCACATGTCAGCTGTGTAACAGGCAAAGGTCCCAGAACTGGGGACAGAAGTAAGACACGCCCACTTAGCTGGGATGTTACTGAAGGACTCATGCAGACGACGTCTATGGTCCTTTCCCAAGCTGAGATTCTTTAATCCTACTGAACGTCGAAGTGAGAAATGTAGGTTGAGGCCAGGCTGTGAACAGATCTGACAATTTGAATGAAGAGATTGAATAAGATGGGTAGGCAGCGAGAAGATACTGAAGGTTTGGGGCCTACAGAGTAATGACCAAATTGAAATCTCCTCCATCTATACCCCATCTATCTTAGTGTCACTAAGGAGATGAATCAGGTAGTGACATGCAGGATGGATAGTGAATGGAAAATGATAAGCTCAGGGATATCACAGGAGACTACCAGCCATATCACCGACATTCTGGAAGTAAGGCCTGACACTGGGCAGTGGCAGTGAAAATGGAAGGAAGGAGAAAGACACAGTCATTTTGTGAGAAGAGAAGAGATCAGATTTGTGGTCCAAATGGATACGATAGAGGAGAGAGAAGACTCAGATTTTACTGGCTCCATTAATTAAACTAGGGAATTCAGGAGCAGGTGTAAGTTTAGTCAGAAAACTGAATTTCCTTTTAGATAAGTTAAATTTGAGGTTCGTGTTCAGTAGACAAATTTCTACATAGTCTCCAACTCTCAACTTCTACCTCCTCTGTGAAGACTTCCCTGACTTACCTCAATCAGACATGAGGGCTGTGTCGTCATTACTACCACTACACCGAGACCTCTTTCCATCCTAATATTCACCTTAAGTCTCTGCTACAGCTCATTTTCTATCTTCAATCTTATCCTCTGTCTAGGAAACTCCTATGTAGAAAGGGTTGGGGCCTTACTTTGACACTCTTTGTTATGGGTTGAATTGTGTCCCCCCCCAACAACAACAACAAAATACATATGTTCAAGTCCTAATGCCCAGTACCTCAGCATTTGACTATATTTGAAATAGGGTCACTGCAAACGTAATTAGCTAAGATGACATCATTAGGGTGGGCCCTAACCCAACATGACTGGTGTCCTTATAAAAAGTGGGAATTTGGACAAAAAGACAGATAGGTACAGAGGGGGGATGCCATGTGAAGATGAAGGCAGAGATCTACAAGGCAAGGAACACCAAAGACTGCGGGCTCCCCACCAGAAGCTGGGGGAGAAGCATGCAACAGAACCCCCCTCACCACCAACCCTGCAGACACCTTGATCCTGAACTTGTGGCTCCAGAACTATGAGACAATACATTTCTGCTGTTGAAGCCACCCAGTTCATGGGACTTCGTTACATCAGCCTTAGCAAATTAACACATTCATGAAAAATTAAATACTAGCATATTCTTAGAAATTATGTGATTCAAGAACTGGACTCCTCTGAAGTACAATTTTAAACCCATGAGAAAAAGAAGTAACAGATATCAAATGTAATGTATTCATATATTCATTCATTCACTCATTCATTCAGTAACAAATAGGAACATACTTGCCAGAAGTCTGCTTTCCAGCACATTATTTGGATCACTTAATTCATAGAAGTCATTGCTTCCTGAGTAAGGAAGAATTTGAGCATCTCCAAAATTCTGGCCCCATTCTGGGCAACATCAGAGCACGTTAAAAAGACTCTCCTTTCTAGTATATCATCGGTAGTGGTGCAAAATAGTCTCTGTGTTTGGTTTGTTTTCTTCTTCCCTTTATGACGTTGATTTTGCTTTTACATTTGGAAAGTAATTCATAACTATTTATTTAGCATCTTTTGTGCACAATGCTGGATATATTCTATTGAGGAGAAAAAATGTTGGGAATATTGCAAAAGAGCATTTATATAAATCTACATCATATTTATGTTGTTTGAGATAAATAATAATGAAATTGTGTTTAACATAAATCCAGAACAAAGTAGAAAATATACACAATAATAGGAACGTTTTCTGAATGTGTAATGCTCTTTTCTTTATTTTTCCACATTCAGATTCAGTTGACTACCCACAGAAAGGAAAAACCTTTGTATTTACAAAATAGATCATTAAATATAATTACATTTACAAGCAAAACTACTTAAGGTCCCAACTACCAGGCTCACAGGCAGATTCACAGACATAAAGAGGACAGTTATCAGTTTGAATAGTGCTATTCGCCAGCACCTGCACAAAGGTGAGGGGAGTGAGCAGCGTGCAGATCCTAATACATTTATCTTACTGCCGATGATGTATGAAACAGAAGGAACCAAAAACAACACTCTCCTCTAACAGATCTCTGTGTTAGAAGTATAATTTACAGATAATTAAAATAAATTGGAATCCATTTTAAAAGTTTCAATTGTTTGTCCTACTTGCCCAACACTGAACTGCAAAAAATAGTCAATACACAACAAAATCTTACCACATAACCTTTACTTTACTATCTCTATAACTCAATTGTACCTGTCTTTTAGGTACCCCATAAGACCCACAACACTTCCACGAACTCTCCCCGTCTACCCCAGTGTCACTAATCCGCCCTTGCCCCGAATCTCTCTAGCACTCACTGTCTATGCCACTCCTGTGGGGACAGAGTCATGCACTGGCTTGTGCTCTGCCTGACGCCTTTCCTAAGTTCATTTCCCTGCTCTTCATCAAGACTGTAAATTCCAGAAGGTCAGAGAACATGTCTTGCGCTGCTTCTTTCTCATACCTAGCACAATATGGATAAAAGGAGAAAGGGAAGGAAAGAGAGAAAACGGAGGAAGAGGAGGAAGAGGAGAAAGAGGAGGGAAAGTGGAAGAAAGGAAAGAAGGACGAGGAGGGATGAGAGAGGAAGGAGGAGAGAACAGATCTAGGCTGGGAACGGCCCATTACACAGAGTAATTTGAGTCCACTGGCTTAAATCCTAATAAATGCCAGTCCTCCACTGCCTGGAAGAGGAGTGTCAGAGCATTTACAGCTAGTTATTACTGGGAGAGAGAAATTTTACAGCCACTGTAATATCTTTGCTTCTGATAGTACACACTTTTATTCTATTGAAATCTCATTTGTCCTCTACGCTTTCAAATTGTATGTATCCATACCAGAGAGTGTAACAGTTTATTGACTTCAATGCATCTAAAGAGAATTTCAATGTATATTATAATTTAATAGACGTGTAAAATACATCAGAGTGTCAATAGATTTTTACTAGCCAATTTTCTCCTTGACGTATATCAATTTTGCTGAATGTATCGTATTACATTAATTCAAGGTATCAAGATTACTAATTTCCCCAAATGAGTACTTACAGGCAAGGTTCTAAAAAGAGTAAGAATCTCAAATTCACAATGCAGATATAAAAAATAATTCCTAATACTCAAATAGCAAATATAGCCTGATTACATCTGTGTTCATACTTACAAATTAGACTTTTTTAAAGTAAAATGACCTATGGTTTCATGATGATGATAATTGCATATTTTTATGTAATAGTAATATATAGAGATATGCGTATATAGAGTGCATATTATAGTTTTGAAAACGACTTTCACATGCATCATTTCATTTGATTCTCACTAAAACCTAAGCAGACCAGAGAGATCTTATGACACACGCTTCCTAAATTCGGGTACAGTCATACAGTGATATTAAATGACTCGCCCCAGGTCACGTAGAGGTAGGGAGAGAGGGAAGAAAGACGAAGGGAACGAAACAGCAATGGAAAGCCAGAGAAAATGAATATGTAAAAAGTTTTATCCTCACTTGTTTTATTTCCTCAGTGACAATATACTCAAAATTGTAGTAAGTGACTACCTTGTAGACTGATGATCCCAGAGTTATAGACTCAAGGACAAAAGGTTGGCTTCCTTTAGACGTTATTTATTAAATCAAATTCTTCATTAAAAGAGATTTGTACTAAAATGTACAAGTGCTTAACTTTTCAAAACTCGTACTTTCAGTCTATTTATGTAATGCCAGTAACTTCGGTTCCTTCTTTTAAAGGGAAGAGGAGACAGCAGAGTCATTCCCTAGGACACTTCCTTTGAATCTACAAATGATCTCCCCATGTTATTTTTACATAACATCCATTTATGAGACAGCTTTTGTAAACTCTGAAGAAAACATTTAGACTTTGGGTAAAAGTTGCATTTTTTTTCTATGTGTGTGTGTGTGTGTGTGTGTGTATATGTGTGTGTGATATTTTCCATACTGCTTATTTTGGTCAAATAAATCTTATTTGTACCATTATTTACATATTTCACATTCATGAATGATCTCCATTTCAGTATCCAATTTGCTTATATACGCAATACTTTCACACAAGAGAAAAACTAAATTCATGGCCTGAAGGAAAGAGAGGAAGGAAGGAAGGAAGACAGACTTCTATTCTATAGAAAAAGTCACCAGCTTATTTTATTTTTATAGAGCAGGTTGCACTCCAAGGACAGAGCTGGCTTCCTTACATTATCATTGGTGTGTTACAAATTGTTATTGGCCACTGACCTGGAGCCATCTGCTATGCAAGATTAAACCATTCCGTGCTCACCTGTGTGAAATCTGGACTTCTTGCCTCTGGGAAGATGATCTTGATGCAGATTTAGGAAATTTATTATGGTACTGATCTCTTGAGAAAAGGAAAATATCTAAGCAATAGGATTTCTTTTTTTCTATTTCCTTCAATACTTTTAAAGCAGCATCATCTATTCCAAGATGCTAAGGAATGGTGTTTCTTTTTTCACATGTGTCAATTTCAAGGCACAGCATCCAATTTATGTCCATCCTCTGGCCAGATTGAAGTTGTTAATTCTATTAAATTGTCCTGGAAAATTAAAATAATCAATGAATTTCTAAAGCACCTTGAATTCTAACATTCTTTTTTCTCAACAAAAACCCCTTCCACTGTAATTCCTGCTTCTATAATTCAAGATTATTCTGAACGAGGTAAGCCAGAACTCTTAAGAAGGCCCTATTAAGAGTTATTCACTATGGCTTGTGATTTTGCACAACTTTTTTTTAAGTATCTCTCCTTAGGTGTTACTTTTTCCTTCGTTTTGACTTTATCCCTTTTTCAAGTGGTAATTACTCACATGGAAAACACGTGCAATTGTCTAAGTCACATTACACATGGTGAATGGAAGCTATAATTTAGAACTAAGAAATACCTCTCTGTTCAAGAAGAAGAGAAACACTTTGAGCAGGATATTTAAGGTTACCCTGGATTTCCCTGTGTGAGGTTGTGGATTTTTCCTGCCTCTCTTGAAAGGGAGATATACTGAGAAGACTCTAAAAAATCACCCTCTAAACTCAGGACATCTAGACATCTCAGGGAGATGCTCTTCCTGTTTCTGTTTGAAAATTCTCTGATGGTAAGCTCCTGTTTTAAGATGATCTTTTCCTTCCCTTGGAATTATTAGAGCCCAAATTTTATTAAATTTTGAGGCTTATGGAGTATGCCTTAATACCATCTCCTCCCACCCCTCCCATTGGTCCAAAGTCGACGGTATACAGATAAAATAGGTATAATAATTTTTCTACATGAAAACTACAACATCCTCTCTATCCTTTTCCAGGGTGAACCTTCCCTGGACAAATTTTTCTCATTGCTCTTTCTGGGCTTTAACCATTCTAGCTTATTTCCTCTGTCTGTATTCCAGTTTTGTCAAATCCTTAATTATACATGATTCCCCAAAATGAATACACTATTCTAAATGTGAACTCATCTACTTAGGATATTAGACACTAGGTTTCAATTTCAATGGCATATCTCCCTTTATTATGGTGACACTGGGCTTCTCATGTTGAGCATTTGTCAACCAACACACACATATTTATTCCACATGTTCTGTTGTCAGGACCTGTCTTTGACATTCTGAACTTGTGCCATAGATATTTTGAATCCACTAACAGAGCTTACAATTCTCCCTCATATATTCCCCCTTGTTATTCTTAGTCCAAAATGTCAACCTATCACGATCTTTAAAAAGTTGATCTAAATCACCTGAAGTATTCATTTTCCTGACCCAGCCCTTCCCTCCTAGGTATACATCATACATACATATGTGCATATCTGCATCTAGGACGCACGCCAGGACTCGACAAAGCAGCATTCATTATTCATAATATACACAAACTGCAAACTAAAACTCCAAAGCTCAGTAATGTAGAATGGATACACACATTTTGATATACTCCCATGAAGAAATATATCCAGCAATGAAACTAAATAATACAACTCATGCAATAAACATCAATGATTCCATTCACATGAAGTTCACAATCAGACTGAAAAAAACTACATTGTTCAGGGTGAGTAGATGATAAAACCATACACAAAAGCAAAGGAATAAATACTATAAAAGTAAGGACAGTAGGTAGCAGAGTTGCATACAATTGTTTATTTCTTAATTCATGTGTTTACCTTATGATCGTTTGTTAAGTGTGCATTTATATTTCATGCATTTTTCTGTATGGGTGTTATAGTCTTCAATAAAAATTGATTAAGATTTAAATTAATGGAATTAATTAGAATGACTGTCCTGTAACCCACAAACTTTCTAGGTCAGAGGTAGTGATGGTGGGAGTGTTTCAGGTGCTGTTCGATCATGGCTTTAGTGCCTTTCTCTTCTCATTCAACTTCTGCTCTATCTTGTGGTAGCTTTGTTCACAGGCTAGTTTCTGTCATGGTAGCAACATGGCTGCAGTAGGACAACGTGGAGAGAGAGAGACGGAGAGAAATAAAGAGAGAGATTCAAAAATGAAAGAAAAGTCTTGAGCCACACTTGGTTGGATCACATTCTTAACCCTGAGAAATCATCAGAGCAAGCAGAATACTGTTAAGATGATCAACCTAAGTCACACATGGTCCACTTCTGGAGTTTATTTTGGGTCAATTTCATCCAAACCATGTGGTTACTATGCAATAGGGAAAACAGTGAAATGAATACTGATTTATATGTACACATACACATATACGTAACACAACCACACTTAAAGACAATGTTATGGAGGGATATATGTCAAAGTGTACAGAGTAGATTTCCATAGAATAGAGAGAATATAAATTATTTCTTTTCTTTTCCTTTGGTTTATCTGTACTTTGTAATATTTCTATAACAATCACAAGCCCTGTGTCTAGTTTCTGTATGAGTGTGATGTCCACTCATGCAGTGCTCTTCAGATCGTGCATGTATCTTACTGGTCTTGATGTTTCGCTGGGATTTCATTTCAATCTCTTGCTCCTTAATGATTTGATGTTGGTCAATCCTCTACTTACATTTCTTCCTGTAATTATCAGGTCTCTCTGCCTATTCTTTCAACTAGGTCACATTAAAGTTGATTTTTGATTGTCCAAGGCTGACACTAGTCAATTAAATATTTTGCTCTAAAGGCAAACTCGCTCAGTGGAACCTTTCTAACCTCAGCCAGGTTCTCCTTTCCACAGATATGGGTCACAGCTGATCAGGGCAATGAAGCCTCCTGTCAAATACAAGAAAGAGTGCAGAATGCCTTGTTAAAATCAAACTAAACTCCAGTCTATGAAATGACATCAGCAAGACGGTGGAATAGGAAGCTGCAACCCTCGTCCTCCCACAGAGGCATGGACTTAACTAAAATGGACCAAAATTCCTTTACATAAGTTCCAGAAACCAGCTAAGCAGTTATAGTAGCCCAGGCAAGCACAAAGCCAAGAACAGCTACATTTAAACAGGTAAGAAAAGCCTTTACATTCTACCCACAGTCACCCTGTCCCCCAAATGGCACAGCTCAGTATGATTGGGAGGAAACTCCCAACTCATGCCTTCTCCCCTCAGGAGGAAAATAGAAGAGAGCAACATGCGTTCAGTGTGTTCCAGTGTTGGGGGGCTGCCTGAGGGACTGGTTTTTCTCACACTTGGCATGGCATGCTGACAGAACCAGCACACCCAGAATGCCTGGAAGCCACTGAGAACAACAGGGAGCTCAGCAACTTGCTGCAGCACTGGAGAAACTGCAGCACCACAAACAGACACCAGAGGGAGCAAGAGATTACAAGCCGCTGAAAAAGAAACAGGCTAACCTCTCAGAGATGATGCAGCCCCACAAAGGTTGGAGAGGCTCACAGAATCACTACCTGGGCTGACTGGCAAAGGGTTCTCCTGTACAAAGCCAGTTCATAAAGACTGGGAGAGGCAGCTTCTTTTTTTGATGATGATGAAGAAGCTTGGCCTTGAGCTAACATCTGTCACCAATCTTCCTCTTTTTGCTTGAGAAGGATAGTCGCTGAGCTAACATCTGTGTCAATCTTTCTCTATTTTGCATGTGGGATGCTGTCACAGCACAGCTTGATGAGCAGTGTGTAGGTCTGCACCTGGGTTCTGAACCCATGAACCCTGGGCTGCTGAAGTGGAGCGTGGGAGCCCAACCACTATGCCACCATGCCAGCCCCAAGATGGCTGTTTTTTAAAATGCCCGAGTCCAAGCAAAAAAAAAAAACTGAAATAAAATAAATTTCAAGGCACACAGAAAAACAGGGAAATATGAAATAACTGACAAAGAATTAAAAATAGCCACATTAAAGTAGCTCAGTGAGCTTAATGAGAACAAAAAGAGACAAGTAAACAATATCAGGAAAATGATGAATGAACAAAATGAGAACAAAAAGATAGAAACTAAATATAGAACCAAACAGAAATTCTGGAGCTGAACAATACAATAACTGAATTGAAAAATTCACTAGAGAGGTTTAACATCAGACTTGATCAAGCAGAAGAAAGAATCAGCAAACTCAAAGACAGGTCATTTGAAATTATTGAGTCAAAGGACCAAAAAGAAAAAAGAATGAAGAAAAGTGAAGAAAGCCAAAGGGATATGTGGAACACCAAAAAGGGATCAATATATTTATTATGGGAGTCCCAGAAGGAAGAGAAAGAAAGAAAGGGACTGAGAGCTTATTTGAAGCAATAATGGCTAAAAATTTCCTATTTAAGGAAGGAAATGGACATCCAAATTCAAGAAGTCCAAAGGATTCTAACTAAGATGAACCCAAAAGACTCACACTGAGACAAATAATCAAATTGTCAAAAGTCAAATACAAAGAGAGAATGTTGAAAGCAGCAAGAGAAAAGTGACAAATTATGTACAAGGGAGATCCCATAATATTATCAGCAGATTTCTCAGCAGAAATCTTACAGGCCTCAAAGGAGCAGGATGATATATTCAAAGTACCAAAAGAAAAAAAACCCTGTCAACCAAAAATATTATATCCAACAAAACTGTCCTTCAAATATGAAGGAGATACAGACTTTCCCAGATAAACAAAAGGTGAGGGAGTTCATCTCACTAGAACTGCCTTACAAGAAATGCTAAAGGCAGTCGGTCAAAGTGAGATGAAAAATGCTGGCAGGAAAAACAAGACGTATGAAAATATAAAACTCCCTGGTAAAGGCAAATAAAAACTCAAACACAGAATCCTGTAATACTGTAATGGTAGTGCATAAATCACTTTTAATTATATATAGAATTTAAAATAGTTATAAAATTTAAAATATAAACATTTAAAAAAATAACTATAAAACTATGATAATAGACACACACTATAAAAAATGTAATCTGTGACATCAAGAACACAAGTTGGGGGTGGAGGGACATGTAAAGGAACAGAAGTTTTGTATGTGCATGAAGTTATTATCAGTTTAAAGTAGATTATTATAACTATAAGATATTTTATGTAATCCTCATGGAACCACAAAGAAAATATCTATAGAAAATGTACAAAAGAAAATTAAAAAGGGGGCTGGCCCAGTGGCACATTGTTAAGTTCACACATTCTGCTTCGGCAGCCCAGGGTTCGCTGGTTCAGATCCTGGGTGCAGACCTAGCACTGCTTGTCAAGCCACACTGTGGCAGGCGTCCCACATATAAAGTAAAGGAAGATGGGCACAGATTTAGCTCAGGGCCAGTCTTCCTCAGGAAAAAAGAGAAGGATTGGCAGTAGATGTTAGCCCAGCACTAATCTTCCTCAAAAAAAAAAGAGAAGAAAAAAGGAACCTAAGTATGTCACTAAAAAAGATCAACAAAACATAAAGGAAGTTAGCAAGAAAGGAAAAGAACAAAACAGCTACAAGATACACAGAAAACAACAAAATGTCAATAGTGAGTCCTTCCTTATCAATAATTACTTTATATGCAAATATATTAAACTCTCCAATCAAAAGATGTAAAGTGGCTGAATGGATTAAAAAAAAAACAAGATAGAATTATGTGCTATCCACAAGAGACTCACTTCAGATATAAGGACACACATAGGCTGAAAGTGAAAATATAGGAAAAGATATTCTGTTCAAATGGTAACCAAAAGAGAGCAGGAACAGTCATGCTCATGTCAGATAAAATAGATTTTAAGTCCAAATATTGTCAAAAAGAGACAAAGACGGACACTATATAATGACAAAAGCATCAGCTCCCCAGGAATATATAGCAATAATAAATATATATGCACCTAACATCTGAGCACCCATATATATGAAGCAAACATTGACAGAATTTAAGGCAGAAATAGCAACATAAAATTAGCAGGAGATTTCAATCCCTCATGTGATGGTTAATTTTATGTATCAATATGAATGGGCCATGGGGTTCCCAGATTAAACTTTGTTTCTGGGTATGTCTGCGAAAGTGTTTCCAGATCGATTAAGCATTTTAATTGGTGAACTCAGCAAAGTAGTAGATTGTCCTCCCAGTGTGGTTGGGCATCATCCAATCTATTAAGAGCCTGAATAGAACAAAAGGCAGAAGAAGGAGGAATTCTCCCTTTTTTTCCTGCCTCACTGCTTGACCTGGGACATCTCATCTCATCTTCTTCTGCCCTTGGACTGGGATTCACACCGTCTGCTCTCCTGGTTCTCTGGCTTTTGGACTCAGAATGAATTCTAGCACAGGCTTTCCTGGGCCTTCAGTTTGCAGACAGGATATTATGAGACTCAACCTCCACAATCATATGAGTCAATTATCAACATGAGCTGATAAAAAAATCTCCTTTCTGTCCTATTGGTTCTGTTTCTTTGGATAACCCTGACTAATACATCCCACTTTCAATAATGGCTAGAACAGCCAGACAGAAGGTAAACAAGGAAAGAAAGGACTTGAATGCTATAGACCAATTTGTCCTAACAGACATCTGCAGAACACTCCACCCAACAACAGCAGAATACATATTTTTATCAAATGCACATAGAACATTCCCCAGGATAGACCACATATTAGGAGACATTAGGTCACAAAATAGTCTTAAAAATTTAATAAGATTGAATCATGCCAAGTATCTTTTCTTACTACAATGGAATGAAACTAAAAATTAACAGTAGAAGAATAACTGGAACATTCACAAATATGTGGAAATTAAACAACACACTCTCGAAAAACCATTGGGTCAAAAAGAACATCACAAAGGAAATTAGAAAATATCGAGACAAAAATGAAACACAACATACCAAAACTATGGGATATAGTAAATCAGGACCAAGAGGAAAGTTTACAGCAGTGAACACCTACATTCAAAAAGAAGAAAGATCTCAAGTCAACAACCTAACTTTACACACCAAAGAACTAGAAAAAAAGAACAAACTGAGCCAAAAATTAGCAGAGGAAAGAAATAATAAAACTTAGAGTAGAATAAAGGAAATAGAGAATGGAAAAATATGGAAAGAATGGAATGAAACCAAGAGTTGGTGTTTTGAAAAGATCAACAAAATTGACAAAACTTTAGCTAGACTAAGAGAAAAGAGAGAAGACACAAATAAATGAATCAGAAATGAAAGAGGAGATATTACAATTGATGCCGCAGAGAAAAAAGGATTATAAGAGACTACTATGAACAATTGTATGTCAATATTGGATAACCTAGTAGAAATGGATGAATTCTTAAAATATACAACACGCGAATACTGAATCATGAAAAAATAAAAAAAAATCTGAGTACATCTATCCCTAGTAAGGAGATTGAATTAATAATCAAAAACCTCTTGACATAGAAAATTCTAGGACCAGATGGCTTCACTGGATAATTCAGTCAAACATTTAAAGAAGTTGCTAGGACCAACGGGGTGGGACATGGGGGAAGTAGGTGAAAGTGATCCAAGGTCAACTTCCAATAATAAGATGAATGAGTTCTGAGGATGTAATGTACAGCATCGTGACCACAGTTAACAACACTATATTGCATATTTGAAAGTTGCTCAGAGTAGATTTTTAAGTTCTCACCACACACATGCAAAACTGTAACTATGTGAGGTGATGGATGTGTTAACTAGCCTTATTGTGGTAATCATTTTGCAGTATGCACATATATAAGATCGCTACTTTGTATACCTTAAACTTACACAATGTTATATGTCGATTATATCTCAATAAAGCTGGAAAAAATTAAAATTAGAATTATCATACGATTCAGTAATCCCACTTCTAGATACATATCAGAAAAGAATTGAAAGTGATCTGAAACAGATATTTGCACACCCATATTCACTGCAGCATTATTCACAATTGCCAAAAGGCAGAAGGAATCTAAATGTTCATTGATGGATGAATGGATAAACAAAAAGGGATATATACATATAGAATATTATTCCAGCCTTAAGAAATAAAGGAAAACTTGTCGTATGCTACAAAAGGAATGAACCTTGAGGACATTATGTTAAGTGAAATAAGCCAGTCACAAAAAGATAAATAATGCATGATTCCATTTATATGAGGTATCTATAATCAAACTCACAGACAGAAAGTAGAATGTAGTTACCAGGTGCTGAGGGCAGGGGACGGCGAGGGAAATGGGAAGCTGTTCAATGGGGACAGAGCTTCAGTTTTGCAACATGAAAAAATTCTAAAGATCTGTTACACAACAATTAACACTACAGTACTGTACAATTAAAAAGGTTAACATGGTAAATTTTTTTTTTACCACAAAAAAAAATCTTGACACCAGGTAAAGACAAAAAAAAAATCAAACTAAACTCTACCATGAATTCTTAGAACATAGGAATCTTAGAAATTAATTCATCCAATTTTGTAGATGAGCAAAGTTTAGCATTAATTTTAACTGGCTTTATTCAATTAAGTAGTCAGATTTGTTTTCAATAACTTAGTTTTGTGAACTATTCTGCCTCCTTAAGCTTTTCTAAAGATTTAATAATTGCTTTGTGATGTGTGTGTGTCTGTGTACATAGTATATATAATTTATTTTTGATGAGAACTTATA